CCATAAGAAATATCACTAGACAACCTAGAAAGTTCCAAACCCCATGAGAGTCAAGTTTCTCATTTCGTATTTATGTAGTCACTTTCATCCATATATATTCTACTGTTTGCTTCTGAACTAATTTGGCTTCATTCTTCAGTTACCAAGAGCTTTTCCTATTTATCAATGTCTTGTTGGTTGTTAATTTGCACATTCAGATTCAGGCCATCTGTACATCCTGGGAGCCTGTTTATAAAAGTAATATATGGAAATCATATCTAATGCCTGGCCCTATCCTTGGAACCCATTTAGAACAGAACATAATTTTTATGTAAAGGAATTTAATTCTCCAAAAGACTAAATAACATTTGGTGTACAAGGAAATGTTTTGTGTATACTTAAAAAAAAAAGAGAGAGAGAAAAAAAAAAACTGACCTTTTTACCTCCATCCATTTGAATTGTATTAACAAACTCTTAGCAAATATTGGTATAATTCATATTATTGTAGTTCCCTAAAATATTTTGTACACCAAACATGCAAAAATAGCAGCATAGTGACAGAGGTCCTCCTGTAACTTCAGAATAGGGACAGAGAGACTCACCATCAGCAGCAGCCCAAGACTGATCCCTGTGAGGCAGTGGTCAAACATACCTTTACCCACCGTTTTTTACCAGTTCTCACACCAGCAGTACATTCCATAGCACTTCTGCATCTCTGCTGGGTTCATTCATTTGTTGCAGTGACCATGGAGAACTCACAGACAGTATTCATAATTATTGGGTTTATTACAGAACTGGTGGTGGTGTGCTGTGGAGTCGGTTCCGACTGTGACCCGGCATAGGGTTTCCAAGGTTGTAAATCTTTACAGGAGCAGAAAGCCTTCTCTTTCTCCTAAGAAACGACTGGTAGTTTCAACCTGCTGACCCTGAGATTAGCAGCCCAATTTGTAACCACTACGCAACCTGAGCTCGTTAGGGAAGCAACAAGGTACAACTCAGGACCAAAAACAACTCAGAAGTAATACAAACAACTGAAGATCAGGGAAGTTTCTTCTTGCCTTCTACCACCAGCCCCTGCTCCAGGCCTTCTCAAACACGTGTTATAGTTCTTCCTCTATGGATTGGCAAGCCCTACCTCAGCCATTTCACACTGGTCTTCTGATTCCTGCCACCTCATGCTACTATCTCTTTACTATTGTTATGCCACTGTCTCTGGATGTTTTCTGTGTTAGAGCTCACTCATCTATCTCTCCACGTCTCCTTTTAAGCCTAGTGGGATGGCAAAACTGACCAATCCCCCTAGTTAGGATTCTATGTATCTTAATTGCATGGTACCCCTGTAGAAGGTTTCCACGTACCTTATTTGTATTAGCAGCTAGCTGTCCGATCCCTTTAGTGAGCCACAAGCACTTTATTGTTATCATCTCACCCAATCATTGTATTGGAATTGCAAGACCATGGTTAAAAGGACCATATCAAAAAAAGTCACAGCTTCATAAAATCATATAGGCTGCCTAGTAATCAAGTAACGTATGGCAATATTTGAATATTAAAGTAAAGGATTACCTATAGCCTCATACACAGTGACCTAATATAGAGTATGGAGTCCTGGTGTGGCGCTGGACCATGAGGTCAGTTTGAACCACAAGGTCGGTGGTTCAAACGCACTAGTCACTCCTCAGAAACTCTATGCAAGGTTGCTATGAGTCAGAACTGACTCGACAGCACTTAACACAACAACAACAACAATATTGAATATGTATTGGTGTAGCACTGAAGGATAAACACTGAACTGCTAACCTCAAGGTCAGTGGTTCAAACCCACCAACTACTCCTCAGAAACCCTGTACCATGTCTCTATGAGTCGGAATCGACTCCACAGCACTTAACAACAACAAACAATAATGCAGAGTGACAGCATCGTTCAGTTTCAGTGTTCCCTATGTCACTGACTGAGGCCGCTGTGAGGGAGGTTTTACTGGAATGTGTACATGTTTCTAAAGGAAGTCCAGAGACATTCTTAACTCTCCCACAAGTAACTGACCAGTTGACAAAAAATAATGCCCTTTCATCTTCCACTCATCACATTTGAACTAATATAAAACCTGTGAGAAATAAACTGGATTACAAATAACAGAAAATAAAATTTGCATGGATATCTTGAAATAAGACAGGCAGATGTAAAAAGGTAAACTCACTCCTCGTTTCTGATTTGTGAGTAGAGACTAAAGACATCTAGAAGTTCAACTTGTGAAACTGTTTTAAGTGTTAAGATCTAGCCATGGGGAATGTGGTAGCTCTGTAGGATAAGCACTGGACTGCTAACCACAAGGTCAGTGGTGTGAACCCACCAGTTGGGAGAAAGATGAGGCTTTCTGTTCCCACAAAGATCAACCTTGTGGACCCTAAACAGGATCCCAATGACCTGGAACTGGCTCAAAGGCACTTAATAACAACAACATAATGTAGCCAGATTTCCTAGCTATTTGTCAAAAGCCTAGATGGATCACTAACTACTCTGAAATTTCCTTTACTTTGTTTTTGACTCATACTGCCCCAAATCAGTCAGTCCTTGAAACATTTATGCTATTTTCTTAACGGTGATCTGCTTACCAAGAAAATACACATGACTCTATGAGGATTTCAGACTTCTTGAATATTTCTGAAGTTTCTAATATGTTCTATTGGAAGCTATTAAACAAAGAATAGCTTTTATTTTGCTTTTTTGTTTGTTTGTTTTGTTTTGTTTTGTTTCATTGTGTCTTGCAGACGGTGAAGAAGATGCACAACGAAACTCCACAGAAAAAAGTGGAGAAGGCCAGGGAGAAGCAGCAAAATCTGAAAGCTAATACGCCACTTTGACCTTCAACAACACTTGACGATGTCGGAAATCTCCAAGCCTGGCTGCAATGTATTTGTTTCTATGAGTGAAAAGGGAGTAAAGAAAATGGCTGTGCTGCATTTCAAGTACCTGCACGCTACCATGTTAAATATAGGGGCAGAGGCTGTGGCTGCAGACGGACTTTTCTCGACCTCAGTCTTTAGCAATGGTTGAGATCACGTGGTTTGTGTTTTGGCCGTCATTTTGTATGAATCCTTTCACTTGGCCATGTGATGAAATGCTTGTAGAGAGTAGCACCGACACTAGATGATGATTCTTCCTGTAGCATCTGGCCCCTCACAATGTCAGAGGATTTAATTGTGTCTAATCGCAAAGGGTTGATTGAACCCCAGAGTTTAAAGATCTCTGGCGCAAGTATTGACCCAGTTAAAAAAAAAAAAAAAAAAACCAACTCCAGAAAGCACTGTTTTTAGAATTATATATCCGTGTGTTACTGCTGTGTTATTTACACTGTTTTGTATCGTACACTATAGATGCTCAGCACTGCCCCATTCTTTGATTGCTTATGGAAAAAAAAAAAAGATGTATGTTACTGTGAATTTTTATACCACTCATTTTTAAAAGGGCTGCTTTTTTTTTTTTTTCCTTTTCTGTAGTGTGGTGGTGTACACATCTTAAAGCACACTATTTTTAAAACAATTTTTCCCCTTGATGACTGTATGCTGATGAATTTAATCTGATAGTTTCATCAAGACTCTAGTGTTTATTATATTGGCATTTATTAATATCCATGAATGTGAATATTATAACCTGAATTCAGTTTGTTCGACTGGATTTCAACCTATCAATTTTTGTTGTGTTCCCAAATGAGTTTTTCCCAACTAACATTTTCATTAAATTATGAGAATTTTGGAGAATTGAGAAGGTGAGAACTAAAGAGTTCTTTTGCTCTATTGGAAGTAAATGTCTCATAATGCTGTATGCTACTATTTAAATTTAGAGGATAACTTACTTCCCTGATTCTGCAAAAGATGAAGATAAGATCTTGCAATCATGTAGACACCAAAAACGAAAGTAAAGCCCTTGTCTTGTGTTTTTCATGTTTGTTTTTTTTCTAGCCCTACTAGATCCAAATGTTATTATGCACTTTTTAATGTTTGTAAACTTTTATTAATAATGTGTGTGAATTGCATTCTACTACAATAATCATCATCATTAGAAGTAACAAAATCTAATTCTGCTGATGGTCTCTGCTGTGTGTTGACATCGTGGTACTTACTGTATGGAAATGTTCTGTGAGCTGTATAATTCCTCTGGTCAGTATTATAAAATCATTTGTCAGTGATAATAAATAAGGAGCCGGCAATACACCAATGGTTCATGTATGACTGGATAAGTGTCAGACAATAGGAAACCCCCAGACATTCGGGAGCCCATTTAGTAGTAGTCCTCAAGAGTTTAGATGTAGTCTCAGATAAAGCAGCGTTTCAATAGGTAAACTGTGTGGACATACCAGCAACTTAGGCCCTCTTTGTAGTTGTACACAGGATGAAAGGTAAGTCAAGTCTGTCCACATCTCCCTTTACAGTATTTTTTAACTGATTGGGATAAAGATTTGGTTATTTGGTCCTCACTCAGATGTTACTGGGGGGGGGGGGAGAATATATATAGTGATTCTTAGAAAATAAAAATATTCAATTTTATAGTAACCATTAGGAGACATACTGTCCAGTTAAAATTCAAGAAAACGATTTCTTAGCAGACTCACAAGAATGAAAAGAGGCTTGTGGGCTTTTTAGACTCTCTCTAGTAGACCATTTAAAACATCCAATGCATATGCTTTCAATATCTTCATTTACTATCCACAGAGTTTTCATATGAATCTAAGTACAGTTTTCCTCCTTAAAGTTGTGGGATTCCAATCTGATTCCATGAGATTTTAGGACCTGTGCTGAGACTATGTGGAGGTTTTATATTCCTATGTGCTATACAATTATTAGTGCATGTGGTGTCATGCTTGTCTTTGAATATATAATAGGGCTAAATTGTAAAGTCATATGGAGCTTTTGATTCAGTTTAACCTGTTACTGCTACTCTGTCTATTATATCCAAACCCAGAGGAATTCCCAAACTAGGAAGATAAAAATCAACTTTCCAAAATGCCCACATCCTACAAAATGTGCTCAGCAAGAGTTCACAGTAAGTCAACAATATATATGTATCTGAATTGTCAAGGAGAGAAAGGAAGGGAAGAAAACCAAGATACAGAATTAACCGACTCTATGTTAATCACTTTATAGTGTATATTTTCCCATTTAATCCTCAAACACTTCTATTGGAGAGGTATCACTATTCCATTTCACAGATTAGGAAATTTGATTTCAATAAAACATACTTTTTCTAAGATTAAAAGGCTATTAAGAAATGAAGATTTCATACATCATGAGATTAAAGCCAATTACAGAGCATTTTCATTAGAAGGGGAACATTGGAGATGTACTGGCCCAACCTCCATATTTTGAAGAAGGAAACCAAGTCACAGAAACAATTGTCATGCTCAAGTCCATCTAGATGGGTAAAAGACCCAGATGTGACTGGATTGAAAAAACTGCTTTTATGTATTTTCAGTTATAACATATCTTTTGTGTTATACTTCAGCTATCCAGGGGTAGTCTTAACCTTAGCAAGGTCTGGATATTTTATTTGCCATATTCTTCCTTTTGTTTAATTAACTAGAAACCCAAGATTTCATTTCTTGGCCCATTTGAAAAAGTATGAACTTGTCAAATATAACATCCTTTGTCAATTTTAAGCATCCTGTACTAACGTGTTACTTTCATAAATTCATAGGAATGTTTTTTCAACACATCAGAGGTAGTTTTCTTCCAGTTTTTAGGCAATACCCCAGATCTGCACACTGTAACTGCCAGATACCTGAGTCTTACTCAAACCTAGTAGCAATGCACCATTTTATATGATGAATGATGAATGATCTGTTTATTTATCTTCAGAAAAACAATCATGGGTAAAGAATTGTAACTTCAGGGCAATAAAGCCTCTGTATGAATCATATCATAAGAAGAAATGTATGCATAATCAAGTGAAAACAGAAAAGGATCTGTGATTTATGATGTCTTAATGGGTCCTAACGTGCTCTTTAATTTAGTAAGTGACAGTCTCTGAAGTCCTGTGTGAGCCTGTATGACTTTTGTATTTAGCAATGTTGCATGCTCACATACTTGATATTAAACTAACACATTTTTCTGAAATGTACACAGTCTATTAAGAGTATTTATTGAACACACACAATTTACTTTGCAGTTGAGTTGAGAAAGTACTGCAAGTGATGAAATCAAAGCCTCAACCATCCTGTGGTAGAAACTTGCAGCCTTGTCGGTCTTTCCTAGTGTTTACTTAATGAGTTCCATCTCCATTCCATTCTAGTAACCTAATCCCTGGACTGGGCTGCAACCAAAACCATCCCATTGCCCAGATTTTAATAACAATGTCATGCCAGTTCCTCTTACCTGCTCACCTGCAGAGTGGTTTTCTATAAGGAGAAAGAAAGGCATTAATGGAAATCCCCCGAAAGTGTTTGAAATACTATCCTACTCCTATCCCACTCCTACACACACACTTAAAAACATTCGCACACAAACACTCTTCCCCTTGAAAAAACTCCCCGTAGACTTACATCTTCTTTCCCTCCTATTATCACCATAATCTCAACTTGAGAACCACTATCTAAGAAGAAAAGGAGCCCTGGTAGGGTAACGGGTTACACATTGGGCTGCTGGCTGAAAGGTCAAGGTTGAAATCCACCATCCACTCAGGGAGAAAGATGAGGCTTTCTGCTCTCATAAAGATATAGCTTTGGAAACCTATACAGGGTCACTATGAGCCAGAACCGACTTGACAATCTACAACCACCATCTAGAAAAACACAAAATTTCCAAAAGCACAACCCTGTTCACCCATCTCTAAGCTTTTGTTATCAACAACAAAGTGGAGTCCTCAATGATACACAATAGTTCCCTACATTGGGACAGAACAGCAAAGAGAGTTTAAATTATTTTATCTTGCTCCTGTTCTTCATATTTATGTTCTCACATGCAGCCAATACAGGCCAAGAAGAAACTAAAGTGGAACTCAAGAAAAAGGAGGCATAAAATAACACTCAACTTGAGTCCAGACAAATAAAAGAGGGTGGTTAAATAAATCTACCATAGATAACATAGGTGAAACACTGGTAGAAATTTGCAACTAAACCCTAGTCAGCTAAACAAGTTTACATCTGCCTGCCTTTAGAGTATGTCTTTGTGCCTTTTTGTTGTTGTTGCATCTGACTGTGTACCATGAGGTTGGCAGTTCAAATTCACCAGCTGCTCCTCAGAAACCCTATACAGGGCTTCTATGAGTCCACAACAACGGTCCAGGATTTGGGCATTTGGGATTCTGGTAATCTCATTTAAAGTCAATTTAACAAAATTTTCTTACTGTACAGGTTAACTTTGTAATGTGTACCACATGAACTTACTGATCATATCAAAAGAGATGTTTCCTCAGCAGCCCTTCCAGTAGTGTGGAGTCCATTGTTAACCTTAGTTTTCAGTGGTCTCAACTTCTGTATTACCTTGTCTTTCTGCTAACTCTGCCCAATCAATATTATTGAAAGAATTGCCCTTCTGTCTTCTGGACGTTGGATAACTGTAAAAAGCTTATAACAATGTTTGCTCATTCTTTACAACTTCATTTTGGATGGAAGTGTTTTACAACTCTTTTACTATGCACTCAAGGACAGAAATATTCTGATTTCCCAATATTTATGCTTTCATCTGGAATTTGAAAACTATTTTCTTATGACCTCAAGTTTTTTGTTTTTAGGTGCCATCGAGTAGGTACTGACTCATAGCAACCCTGTGCATGACAGAACGAAACACTGCCCAATCCTTGGCCAACATCACAATTGTTGCCACGCTTGAGCCCATTGATGCTGCCACTTTGCCA